ATGTATTTGTGTGCATGTGTATATGTATATGTGTCCCAAGTGCATTCTGCCCCAGTTTCAACTCTGAAACCACAAAGTCTAGGAAGCTGAAATTTTTGAAGCTATGTCCCCTGTCCGCGTGCGACCACTTAATTGCAGTTTCAGCTTTCATCTAAGGCTGGGTCTCAAGTGCGACCCCATAAAAGCTCTGCTAGGGAAAATTGACTCGGGATCCAGAACTAAAAGGTGAGATTTTGGGGTGATGTTTTCTGCCGATATATCGTCTGGTTCCTAAGCTACAATATTTAGCTTCCATGTATGCCTAGGACTCATGCACAGCCACGTGAAAGTTTTGGCGCGAAAGCCACCAACGCGGAGGCCAGAAAACTAGGAATCTGAAATTTCCGAAGGATGTTCCTCGTCCGTGTGCGGTTCAAAGGTTTTAAATTCAGATTTTAAGTATGCTTGCGTTTCACTTAACGATGAAATTTTTAGTGGAAAATATTGTAGCTTAGGAACGGACGATATATCGGCTGTTTTTGCACACATCAAAATGTAGAACGGTAAAAATTCTTAACAGCAAACGTCCGCTGGATGGACTGGGCAAATCGCATAGTTGCACCAGCTACTCTGATACTTCCCGCTATTTTTTTGAAACAGATAATGGAAAACGTTTAACACATACACACACACGCACACATACCTACATACATGCATACGTAGATGTGTGCTCTCAGAAATGTAATTGTAGGAGCTCATACACAGTGTTGGGAGGTATGTTGTGTATGGGACAGGTGAGTTGCTGTAACAGAGCTAGTTTGCCCACCGCATATTGCTGCTGTAGCAGGAGGCGCATGCCGAGCTCGATGCATCGAACTGCAAAGTGGTTTTGTTCACAGTGGCCGTCCTGTCCTAGATTACCTGCACATCGCAGCCGGCTTCGAGTGCATTTCGTTATTTCGCAGCAGCAGCAGCAGCCTTCAGCGCATCTTTCTGCCTCGCGCAGTGGCCTGAGACGTGCCGATTCTACGAGCCCTGAATGCCTCTTCAGCTGGTCCCCTCCTTCACAATTGTACAAAGCGACCAGTCCTCGGTCTTCGCCCTTTGCTCGTCTTGTTACACACCGTAGAAAAAAAAAATTCTTCACACTGCTTAACACGGACAACGAATCTTCTTGTCATTTGAATTTTGAACGAACGAAGAGCTGCTCTCAGAGAGGAGGAAGAGAGAGAGAGAG